TCTTGGCGTAGGCGGATTCAAGGCTCATCCACATCTCCTTGGACGTCTCCTTGTCCCGCACCAAATGCAGCAAATCGTCATGAACAAATGACGTCAGCAGGAACGCCGCCTTACCGTCATCTTCCTGGAACTTCGTGAGCTCGGCCGCTTCCATCGGAGGATCCTTCTTGATGATATCCAACAGCTTCACGGACTTCAGATACTTCTCCACTCGAAATTGCCAATTGTCGAAACCGGTGCCCGAGAACTGCGGGATCCCGTGGACCAAATCCTTGCGTGAGTCGCCCATAACCTCTTGATTGTTAGAAAGAACCGGAACAGCAAAGTTTAAAAGTAGAATGGATTTTATTTAACGACTAGCTTGAGTGGAGTCTTGAACAGGAATGAATAGTTTTTCACCGTTGTTTATTTAAGAAAACTTAGGTTGCTAAGGGTGACGTTCGGTCTCCAAGGAGGTGATCAGCACACTGCGTTACCGATTTACTCCAACAGAATGTATCAATATATAAATTGGAAGTGACGTTCAATCAAATAAACCCATACCCCACTCACTTGGCCAGGCTTCGGAATCGTCCAGTGGGCAGTGCGCTCTGCACTCCAAGTTCCATTTCTTTCAAATTCGCCCCAAATTTTATATTTTACCCCTTTGAGTGTTGATTAATCACAATGAAACAGTGTGACAGAGCACGGACTTGAGGTTACTAGAGTATTAAATAATCTAGGTCCTATTTAGGATTATATCTGAAAAATCCTAATCTGGCCAACGCCCACCTATCCGCTGGAACAAAATCCTGTTGGCATAAAATAGATCCCGATCAGTGGTCACTCCGCTTCTTGTACGGTAACTCCAATCCCTATCTCCTTCCCTACCTAGATCGGGTAACCAGTGCTGTGTGAAGACATAAGACAACTCTGTTGAAACACTCAAAGGAATTCGACAAGACGATGATCTTTCCTGCCTCATGTTCAACATTGCGCTGGATGCTGCTATGATGCTTGGGCTTCAGCATCCCTAATACAAACATGTACCATAAACGAAAGGCAACTCAAATGATAGAACTACCCAAGTAACCAAAAGTTCTGATAAAAGGCCATTTGTGGCTTAAGCAGCTTAGTTAGTGATGGTCTTTAGAATTCTAAGCAGCCTCATTTTTAAGTCGTTATAAGAACTTGAAAGTTCCGGTATCATAATTGAAGAGAATTCTAAGCAGCTTCTGGCCGAACTTGAACGGAACTTTTAGAAAATAAATTAAAAAGGGTTTTTGCCCTCTAAACCAATTCTATGTTTAGTTCGCACTTTTATGAAAGTTATTTCTAAAGGCAGGTATTTATGTTTATTGATTTATCAGCATTAGTAGGTTTGGAGCTGTTTGAAGAATTAAACCCAGTCCTTCTGCGTGAGAGCCCCAGCACGAACCGCTGCGTCATCTGAAATATATTAAAGCGAGCTGTTGTCCCGCCTACTGTTGGAGTTTTCAGTGCCAGCTGACTGACTTGCATACAAAACACAATACCTTGATGAATTTGAAATTGGTATTTGCCCGCATGGTATTCCAACACATTTGTGGCGCAGTGGTTAGCGTTAGTAGATCGCATGCCGAATACACGGGTTCGGATCCAGGAAATTACTTTTTAATTTTTTTTTATGTTTTAACAGAATGTTGATGCACTGCATAAATATAAGAATTATGATTTATTCGGGCCACTGATCATTTAATAATTACGTACATAAAATTTTGTTACTAATAAAGACTTGTGCGGATTGCTTCATGTAGCTTGAAAGTTCTGTCGGAACTTTATTTGAACTTTATGGAACTTGAAAGTTCTGTCAGAACTTTATTTGAACTTTATGGATCTTGAAGGTTCGGTCGGAACTTTATTTGAACTTTATGGAACTTCTGTCGGAACTTTATTTGAACTTTATGGAACTTGAAAGTTCTGTTGGAACTATATGTGAACTTTATGGAACTTGAAAGTTCGGTCGGAACTTTATTTGAACTTTATGGAACTTGATGGTTCGGTTGGAACTTTATTTGAACTTTATGGAACTTGAAAGTTCTGTCGGAACTTTATTTGAACTTTATGGAACTTGAAGGTTCGGTCGGAACTTTATTTGAACTTTACGGAACTTGAAAGTGATTTTAATCGTTGAATGCGGAACTTTTGGTTACTTGGGAACCCACCGAAGGATGCACGTTCACCAACTCGATGTGAAGACCGCATTCCTCTACGGTGAGCTTGAAGAAGACGTCTACATGGCCATACCCGAAGGAGTTGCAGCACCGCCGAACTTCGTTTGCAAGCTGGATCGATCGCTGTACGGACTCAAGCAAAGCCCCCGCTGTTGGAACAACAAGCTAAACAACCTTCTACTGGATTTCGGCTTTACCCGTTCCCGGCATGATTACTGTCTATATACCAGGATCGACGATCGAGGGGGGGTATACATAATCATCTACGTGGACGATTTGCTCATTGCTGGCGATCGACTGGACCTGGTGAAGGAGATCAAGCGTGCTCTTTCCAAGAAGCTCCAGATGACGGATTGCGGCGTGGTTAATCATTTCCTTGGAATGAAGATCCGATACGACCGCGCCACCGAATGCATGTACCTGGCGCAAGAAGCTGCTGTGGACCATGTGCTGACGAAGTTCGGCATGCAAGACTGTAACCATGTCAAAACCCCAATGGAGAAAGGCTGTTTCCTGCCACCACAAGCTGCGAATCCTGTGTCGCATCCATACCGTCAATTGCTGGGCAGCCTGATGTATACGATGCTGTGTGTTCGACCGGACATATGCTACGCTGTTGGATACCTAGGGCGCTTCCAAGTTCAACCTGATGAGGCCCACTGGCAAGCCCTGAAGAGAGTGGTCCGTTACGTGAAGGGAACGAAGAACTTGAAGCTCCAGTACAAGCAAAACGACGACGCCGAGGCACTTGTCGGGTACGCAGACGCTGACTGGGCATCGGATGCTGAGGATAGGAAATCCGTTAGTGGCTTCGTCTTTAAGGTCTTTGGGAACACCGTGTCTTGGGCAAGCCGCAAGCAACAAACCGTTGCACTGTCATCGTGTGAAGCCGAGTATGCAGCTTTAAGTGCCGCGGCCTCCGAAGGGCTGTGGCTGCACGGAATCCTTGAAGACCTGAAGCAAATTCGACCGGACACGGCATTCAAGGTGTACGAAGACAACCGTGGGTGCATTGCAATGGCCACAAACACCGAAAGCAAGCGTGTCAAGCACATCGATGTAAAGCACCATTTTTTGCGCGACCATGTGGCACAAGGAAGACTTCAAATCGAAGCAATTGATACAGCAAACCAAATAGCGGACACGTTCACCAAGCCCCTGGAACCTGGACGTTTCCGCGAACTGAGGACCCTCCTAGGACTGACCGATTCAGGGGGGGTGTTGGAGTAAATCGGTAACGCAGTGTGCTGATCACCTCCTTGGAGACCGAACGTCACCCCTAGCAACCTAAGTTTTCTTAAATAAACAACGGTGAAAAACTATTCATTCCTGTTCAAGACTCCACTCAAGCTAGTCGTTAAATAAAATCCATTCTACTTTTAAACTTTGCTGTTCCGGTTCTTTCTAACAATCAAGACATTCAAACCATTGGCATTTGGTATTTCAGACAGAAATAGGATGCGGAGAGCCCGCTTAGGGGGAGCGTAACCCATGTTATGGTTTCCATTTATTAAATAGTTCAGACAGGCTAGAAATGACAGGTTTATAGTGAGAGAATGTACTATATTGGGAAAGCATAATTTTCATAGGGTTCAGAGCGGCTGAGCTGTTCGGTTGTAGTTTGACCTTCCTTCAAAACCAATTTGGCTCTAGAACAATGTTAAACTTGTTCTGCATTATTCACATGTTGCAATTATTGAAAAGAGCTCGATATAAAGTAGCTTTATAAAATTAAATAGAAATGCCAAAATCTTACCCAGTAGTTTAGCTGTTCTGATTTCGGTACAGTTTGTTGGGGTCAGTATAGTTTCTGAGTATGGATTCCCATTTTGAAATAACTCATATTAGCACAAAGTAATAGTTTTATTGCTAGGGAACTTTCTTTTGGGATCGTCTTTTCTTCATACAATTCTCATTATTCATACTATATTAATCATGATCAGTCTTAGAAAATGTTATATGTTTAAGCCCCGTTCGAGATTTGTTTGTTATTCATATCTTATGCATTGCAGCTCGCGAGAGGTTACCAAATATGGGTTCTTTTTCTCATCCACAATAGTTTGGAGGGAGGGGGCGATCTGAGAGCTGAATAGAGGCAAATAAAATAGGGAACACAACACCATAACCCAAACGACTAACCAACCCATGCGGCTCACGCTTGTTCTATTTCCTTCTTCCTCTCATGTACCAATATTACCTGCCTGAGAACAAATGGGAACACCGCCAGATGCTCAATAGAAAAGAAAAAAAACGAGAAAGTGTGAACAAGAAAAGAAGAGAGTAAGCAGTAAGAAAGGATCACGCCGGTTGGAGACAGCTAATTTATACTGGACGGAACTGGTAAGTAGGATAAGAATTGTAAAAAGGTGTGTGCTTGCATGATTTACCTATTTTAGAATTACCTATAAGCCACATGAGAACCTCATTTCCTTCAATTACAACTCCATTGCAGCACACACCTAATAATGATCACTAACGTTCATATAGTTTCAGCATTATCGACATTTATAATCAAAAGGTGAGTTGCAAAGTATAATTACCATGCATAGATATAAGTTAATGTACCAGAACCTGGACGGACACGAGCCTACCCAGGGGAGGACCCGGATACGACCACCCATGTGTGTCTAGAGTATCGCACGAGCTGACGAGTGCAACGGGAAGGACAGTAGGTGTATAGACTAGGGGGTTAGTCCCTAGATAAGCCAACTTAGCGGTTGACACAGCCTATACACTGAACAATTACACTTACAACCGGATATTGTTCCCACGGATATTTCGGATGGATAAAATTCGAACGCAGCTGTCGTCTTCAACAGTCTATTTGGACCATTTGTTGATGCCTGCCTTAATCGGGTATTCTTTGAATGTTATAAAAAAAGGAGCAAAACTTACAAAACATCAATGTAGGTAGTTTGGTGTACTGATTAAAGTGCCGAAGTCTGCAAAACCGTGCATCCACATGGCAGCACAAGGAACCTAGAACCTACAAACCATGTGTTAGGATGGATAATCTATGCTAGTGTAATGATTAGAAAATTTGCGCCGCCATATCGTCCGCATCTATCCCCAGCATGGCCAGTTCCTCCAGCTCGGCACGCTTCCTTCGCGTTTCCTCATTTTCAATCTCCGGTGGAGGAGGAGCCGGTGGCAACGAGTCCATTTCGCCACTTCCGTCGTCGTTGTTATCATCCAGTGGGGAACCTTCCAACGGTAACGATTCTGACGAGTGGTCCACATTCATGTCAACCGACGATACCATGTCCAGTGGTTGGTTCTGCGACTCGTCATCGTAGGAAACGGCCGGCGCCGATACAACGGCCGTGCTGTACTGGGCGGCTATCTGCTGGTTGTAGATTTCGATAGCTTCCGGGACAATCATCTGCGGTTGGTCGGTATCGATGACCGGCACAGGAGCCGGGACGATTATTTCCTGAGGTTTGGTCTCGTTGGCAATCATCTCCGCCGGTTTGGGCTTGTCGCCGTCAAAGAGGATATCCAGGGCTTCCTGGAAATCTTTCGGCAGTGGTCCTTTGCGAGGGATCGGAGCATCGCTGATTGGCTTCGGAGCGAGATCAGCATCCGCTTCGTCGATTCCCGGTGGAAGCATACTCTCATCCGGTTTAGTCGGATGGGCTGGTGGTGGTGGAGGTGCACCCATCAACGCAACATACTGATACGGATCAGGCATCATGTCGACGAACTCTTCCGGCTGTAGCTTGGTTCCATTCTCCACACTGACGGCGGTTGGTCCGACAGGTTTTTCAGCAGGAATAAATTCCTCCTTCTTAGCTTCCTGCTGCTGTTTTTTGAATACTGGCATTCTGCCAATGAATGGCAACTTCTTCTGGCCAATAGCCATGGAAACATGTTTCTTTTCTTTTTTGTCGTCATCCCTTTTCTCTTTCACCTTCTTTTCCGGTTTGGGTTTCGGTTCCGGAGGGAAGTTGACCACCGGTTTTTCGATCACCCGTCGTCCACGCGAGCGAGATCGTGACCGAGACCTGGATCTCGATCTTGAGAAGGACCTCCTCATACGGAATCTACCTCGACCATAGCTTGGACTTCGTCTGCCCCGGGAACGACTACGCCTTCTTCTGTCGAAACGCCCCCGATCAAAGTCCCGGTCCCGTCTTCGGTCCATGGGACTGCGTCTATCCCTGCCAGCGAAATTTCCTCGCCGCATCGGGCTTCGACTCACACGTCTTATCGGACTTCGAGTGTTGCCACGTCGCCCAGGACTCCGACTACCTCGTCGCCATGGCGGAGTCGGTGATTTGCTACGCCTATTTCCACCTCGACCTCGGTTATCCTCCGACCGATCGTCCTGATGGCGACCTGTACCCGAAGGTGCGTCATCTCGTTTCTTCAACTTACCTTTCAACTGCTCCAGCAGCTTCTTTTCCGACTCGGAGATGATCGGATCCGGAGTTACCCACTGTGAAATCATCAACTCATCCCGCTTTTTTTCACGGCTTTCGGCACCGTCGGTCATGAACGGAGGTGGCGGAGCGGACAGATCCTTGGAAGCTGAAGCCGTCTGAACTACGGTCCACTTTCCAGCCGCCGATTCCTCCACATGGTGGACATCCTTTACAGCTTCCTGAGCCTTCAGCAAGTTCCGCATCGCTACGCGAATCGACGTAGCCGGATCGAATCCCTCCCCTTTGCCACTCTTGTGATCCGAGTCCGAATCCGAATCCGAACTGGAACTCGAACTGCTCGACGAAGCCGCCCGTTTCTTCTTTTTCTTGGAACGTTTCTTTTTCTTTTTATCCTTCTTCTCCTCTTTGCTCTTCTTGCGCTTCTTGTGGCCATCGCTGGATTCCTTCTGTAATGAACTTCCGGTTAGAAAATCTACATCACCCTCTCCCGATGGAACCTTGGCTGCTGCCGGTGCGCCATCCTCGGTGGTTGCGCTCGCTTGCTGCTGCTGCTGTTGCTGCTGTCGATCGGTATCACGCATCTTCTCGTAAGCCTTCTGCCGGTCGGACATCCAATCGATCTCGAAGTTGGCATGGGAATCGATGAAGTCCTTAGGGGAACGAAAATACCAGATTAATACAAGAATGAAGGTAAAGGTAACCTCAACATACCCCGTAGTTGTCGCTGTGCCGCTGGGATTTGAGATGCAACGAAGCACTGGGCAGGTCGCCCATCCAGTAGTCGCAAATCTTGCAGTACCAAGCCGTGGCCGGTACGAAGAACTGCAGGCCACGGATGGGAGTCCGCTTGCTCGGTAGGTCCGGATCGGTTTTCGTTTCCTCCGGCGGTTGCTTCTCGCGCCAGGGAAAGTCCTTCACCACGTCCCCGGTCATCTTCGACCGGTGCTGTTCCGCGTGCAGATGGTTCAGGTAGTCCTTGGCCGTTTTGGGAAAGATGTCACACGCCGAACACCAGTGCAGTTCCGGGTCGTAGTAAATGAAGTTGAACTCCGGTTTACGCTTACGATCCGTATCGTTCGATTCGGCTTTTACGCCGGATCTGGAAGAGGGAAGAAGGGAGGGAAATGGGGTTTTAGTAGGGGAAAGTGTGGGTATGTACTTCATAATATAATTTAAATTTAAAAAAATAAGGAAATATGAATATGGTATCTCCAGAAAACTATTGACAAGGGTAGCATTCTGCATCAAACCTTATTTTTTAACATCAAAATAAGTAGCATTGCCGACACTACCCATAAATCATCCAACACCGATACTCACTTTTGATCCTTCTTGTCCTTTCCGCGCTTCATCGTCTGGAGCACCTCTTTCTTCAGGCGCTCCGGCGAACCGGATTCCGACCGTTTCCGCTCCTTGCTCGGACTCTTGGACGATTTGTTCCGCTCCTTGGGCGTTTCGCTGATGGGCGGCGGCGGAGGCGTCGGCGTCTTGTCCTTCCCGATAATGCCATCCAACATGTCGATCACATTCTCAATCGTACTGATCTTGCTCTGGATCTGGGACTGTAAACAGGAGGCGGGAGATTGGCGGTTCGGGAATCGGAAGGGAGAAAGGTTGGGGGGACAAAGCGTGAGGAAGCAGAGAGAAAGACGAAACGTTAGTCAACTTCCGCTGTCCGGGGTGCAAATTACATGGTATCGTATCGTATTTTGGAACCTTTCTGCATCGTTCTATAGGATTGGCGCGTTTTGCGCTCGCGTGAGATTAGCAACTTATCGAAGCTAGAAGTGGCTACTGTGACAAGTTCAATCGGCTTTTTGATCCTAGAAAAGAAAATCTCTTTTTGGTTTGTTGAATACGACATCGATCGAGCGGGGTGCTTCCAATTCCAGCTTCATCCGGTTCCTCTCGGCAAACGGCAGGCTTACAAACTAAGTGATACAAGCGACCCTACCTGAGCAAATGTAAGCTTGGATTTCGTTCCACAAAATCGAACCCATTTCTTACATTACACTCTTACAAAAGGCATTAATTCTACACACAAAGATAATTCGGTACAATACATTCTCTACTAACAGCGCCAACAAAGTTGTCCACGCGACTGTTTCTCTCGTGTGCTCCAAATTGGTCCAAAGATCTGACGGGGACATCTCTTCCCTTTCTCGGCAGAATCTGGAGATGCATTATTTCAATCGAAAACTCGCATGGAACGAAATTTTGACGCTCCAAAAACCGAAAGGCCAGGAAGAAATGACACCCGTTCCTTGGATTTCCCGTTTGCTCCCGGATGGTTTCAGCTGGCAATAATGAGCTTTCGAATCAATGTGAAGTAGGAAGGCACGCACACAATCAAATGCTGCGGGGAAAAGTGTTGCGTTTGAAAGAGAGAATACACAAATAACAGGTGTGGAACTAAGAAACTAAATGAAGCGAATGCTCTTCCGGGGTGTTGAAGAGCTTCGGAAAATTTTAGTGTTTTGCTTCAAAAATAAACGTTGAACGGTTGGATTGATTTTTTTTTTGACCAGATACGGCCACAGGTTGCGCTATTCCTGATCAACCGGCACTCACCTGAAGCTTATCGTTCTCCTTGACGAAACTGTTTGTCGTCGGTGATGGCGGATCTCGACCCGAGCACAAATCGGACCTCTGTTGCTTGAGAGTTTTCAGCTCCCGTTTCAGGGCACCCGCACGGCGTCGATAATCGTCTCGTTGCTTCTTCAACGAGGCACGCTGATTTCTAACCTCCAAAGCAATGGCAGCTAAAACAATAAAATTCCTAATAATTTGTACAACAAACAAAATCCTTACACATCATCAAATTACCTTCACGCTTTCGCTTTTCCTCTTCGGTTTCTTGCACCACCGGTGGTGGGGCCGTATTCCAACCCGCTGCACCATATTCCTCCCCAGGAGGTCCCGGTTGCCCCATCATCATCCCCCCCGGTGCGGTCATCATTCCACCGTAACCATCGGGAGGAGGCCCTCCCGGTGCACCATAATCATACCCTCCATAGCCGCCACCCATGTCACCCATGTCACCCATGTAGCCACCGGGAGCCGGCGGTGGCGGAGCAGCATACCCGCCATACGCATCGTACATCGGTGGACCTGCTCCCATGTAGGCAGCGGCAGCCGTCGCAGCTGGATTCCCAATCATCGGCGGAGGTGGAACCTGCATCGACGGAGGAGGCGGAGGACTTGGACTACGACGTCCTCGGCCACGTCTTCTCATCGGCGGGGGACTTGGCGACCGCCTTCGGATACGATCCCGACTACGACTCCGTTCTCGTCTTCGCCGACCGTAGCTTGGACTTCGGGATGGCGTGCGTCGTTTGTCACGACTACGGCTACGCGATTTCCGTACCTTCTTGTCTTTCTTTTTGCCTGAAAATGCAAAAAAGACGCAACTTATCACCGCTAATTCAAACATAAACACAGCCCGACAGCACCGATCGATACTAGGTAAACAACAGAAAAAACGACACAATCTCTCAATCGGTGCTTACCATCGCGTTTGTCGTCCATCTTTGATTTTCGCAACACCCTGCTGGGGTGCAGGATATTTATAACGCCGAAAAGCACAGAAATTTAACTTTTCACTACCGATCTCCACTGTTTACTGCATCGGACAGCACAGATTTCCCCTTCAGCGATATTTTTATTCGCGAGAAGGTGATTGATTTATCGAAAACAAGCAAATTTAAACGATGCACCAACCAACGTTGCTTCGACACCTTTTTGCAGAGTTTGACAGCCCCGGTCGGTGAGGGGAAAGAATGCGTGAGTTACCAAAGGATCGTACAAGTGAGTGACTCAAATGCCGGTTCGGTTTGCCCGGTTGCCAGATTGACAAAAAGTTTGAATGCAAATGTTGCTCATTGCGAAACATCTGCACTTTACCAAAAGATCATCCTCTGTTGGAATGAAACCGCAGACCATTCATATCGAAACCTCGAAAACGCCTTTTTGAATGATACACGGCCAACCAGAACAACTCAGCCACTGAATTCAATTGAATCAGAGCATTTTATTTCCATACAAAATTTATTCATATTTGGAAAAACCTACATTAACTCATAGCTAATGAGTAACTAAGCAGGTTTTTCCATATATGAGTAAATTTCGTATGAAAAGAAAATGCTCTGAGTCAATTGAATTCAGTCGCTGAGTTGGTGGTTGATCGTGTAGCCGAGCATGTAGCTGCAACTGGATGACGGTTGTTTTGTAACCAGATGATGCTCCTATCGAATACAGGAGAAACATTGATACGAGAAGCGAACGGACCTCAGATGAAATACATAATGCTCTCTGTAGAATGATTGTAATCCCAAATTGAAATGCATATGGTATTGGTTCAGCCCTGCATACTGCGAACTAACTCAAAATGCTTATCATCTGGGAGCCGAGTCAAACTGTCAAACGGGAACCAAACATTCAAAAGACCTCAGAAGTCACGTAGGTAGTTACTGTTTGAACTAGAAATACTCAGAGGGAGAGATAGACGGAGAAAACAAAATACAATTCGGCAGCAGGGATTTGTTCCTAAATTATCTTGCAACCCTTGCTAGAAGCTAGCATTTCAAATGACTTTTATTTTTGATTTGATTTACGTGCAAAATAATAAATGATTGCATCGCAATATTTTGCACATTTCTTGGTGCCATTCATTAACCAACGAAGATAGAGTTAGAATCGAGATTAGAATATTGTTTTTGATTCCAAAAACTAGTTGAATTTGAGAAGCACACAAAACATAAAGGTGATTGAATTTCTGTTCGATTGCAATACTCTCAAATTTATTCCAGTAAGAATAAGAAATCATCGGGATAATTCTAATAGGAATGTTCAATTGGCTCAGATTTTTACAGTTCATTTGGCTCAACACATTCTCTCCGCCCATCTCTCCCTCTGAGTATTTCTAGTTTGAACCACAAGTAAAGGTGTTGCCACCTACTGAAAACAAATTAAGAATTATAATTATGAAACTGTCGAAACATCAACCTTAGTAGGCGGATAATGTAAATCATCGAGCGTGATGCTCGAAAAAGTGTTTTTATTTAATATTAATAATGCCAAAACTGGGTTGCTGTAACAATAATGTAATCAAACTTTATAGGAGTCATGTGAGCTTTGTGGGCAGGTGTACTCCCATCACCATGTATACGTTATTTCTGAAGCAGAGGAGGAGGAGCCAAGAACTCATTTGACAGCATGTATATACAATTTCGTGAGCTGTTGCAGCAAAACAATTTGAAACGTCAGAAGATTTTCAAGATGTTTTCTAGCTCACTTGAAAAATAAAATCGGCTGAGTTCGCAGTACTCAGGTTCAGCCCCAAGCGAATTTGAGTGAACGGAACTCAAATGTACGTTATAGATTAATTTTCCGTGGGTAAACAATGATTAAAATATTATTAAAAACATATGGCAACACAGCTGCAGTTTACTCGGAAATAAAGCCCTACACGGTGTTTCGTGAAAACCCATTTATGGGTAAAAAAATACCCATTTTCAAACCATGTATGCAGCTGTCAAAAAATGGGGGAATTTGGAAATCATAAAATGGGTGAAAAAATACCCATTTAAAGAATCAGTTCACGATTGCATAATGGGTATATTTTTTACCCACTAATGGGTGAAAAAACACTTGGAATTTTGTTCGTCTCATTCCGTCACCGACCATTGGAAATGCAAACAGTTTCCGTCCGCTTTTTTTTTTAAGCAAAAATGGACGATCTCCGGAAAAGGTTAGATTCCGAAACATTGGATAGACTTACGGATAAGTCTATGCAGTGTTATCCAATATGATATTATAATATCTCGTGTAATATTTTTTTTTCGCTACACCTGCATTTATTTTCAATGAAAATATTAGAAAGTTTTTTATATCAACGAGGGCAAATAACCCATCACCAGCATCCTCCATTTGAAGAAATGGGTATTTTTTTTACCCATTTTACGAAAAACACAATTTAAGAAGATGGGTAAAAAAACACCCATTTATTGACAGATACCCCATTTACCCATTAATGAGTAAACCATAGTTTACCCATTAAATGAGGAGGGGCACTTTTCGCGGAAATGGGTGTTTTTATACCCATTAATGGGTATAAAAATACCCATTTCCGCTAAAAGTGCCCCTCCTCATTTAATGGGTAAACTATGGTTTACTCATAAATGGGTAAATGGGTGGTCTGTCAATAAATGGGTGTTTTTTCACCCATTTTCTTATATTGTGTTTATCGTAAAATGGGTGAAAAAATACCCATTTTTACAAATGGAGGATGCAAGCGCTCGTTGATGTAAAAATGTTTTTAAAACATTGAAAATAAATGCAGGTGTTCCGCTCAAATTTTTCACGAAACATTATAATACAAATTATCCATTGTATTGACTTATCCGTAAGCCTCTCCAACGTTTGGCATTCTAACATTTTCCGGAGATCGTTGCTGCGGACAGTAACTGTTTGCATCGAGGTTTGCATTCCCAATGAGCCGGTGACGGAAATGAGACGATAAAATTTCGAAGTGTTTTTTCACCCATTAATGGGTAAAAAATATACCCATTATTCAACCGTGAACTGATTCTTAAAATGGGTATTTTTTCACCCATTTTATGATTTCAAAATTCCCCCATTTTTTGACAGCTGCATACATGGTTTGAAAATGGGTATTTTTTTACCCATTAATGGGTTTTCACGAAACACCGTGTACAGTAAAAGTATGGACGACTGTCACCACAAAACTGAAAAAAGCTGTTCCAATCGAGCAAAGCGGTGCATTTTGACGGTTCGATTGGAACAACTTTTGACAGACGTCCATACTTTTACTGTAGGGCTTTACTCGGAAAATGAGTTCTGTAAAAGGGGTGATACATTAGTAAACCACTTACACGGTCAATGAGATCAACTCATATATGAGTTGAGTCTACTCATAATCGGAAAGCGTACACGGCGAATGAGAACGACCCAAATTTGAGTTTAGTTCACTCATAATCGCAGTGCAGGAACTCAGCTATGAGTAAATTTATCGCATGGTTTCCATTGAAAGTTGCAGGACCGACTTGGAAAAGCCACCCGCAAGGTCCGGAACGGAAATGTTGTACACAGTAAAAAAAAATGTAATATCGATGTGTAAAATGTAATTGAAGCTGATGTATGAAATAATGATGTAATAGCAAAAATCAGATACAATATTTTGGAGATGAACTAGCCAAAGGCTATAAATCTCCTTAATAAAGGTTTAAAAAAAAGATACAATATTACATAAATGCATGTAATTTTGTTCGCAAAATCGATGTGTATCGTACAACGTTATATTACACAACCGATGGATTGACCTGGTTGCAGCAGTTTGGTGTAATATTCAACAACTTTTTTTTTTCTGTTTACCTACTCCCGGCTCATCTCAGGATTCGAAAAACGAAACAAGAGCTATCAAAATACCGGGTTCGAGACCGGGTTGCCATTATTCAAGCAAACAAAACTCAGTTCAATGACTTATCGGCACTGCCAGCACAGCTGCGGCACACTGAGGCACACTGAAAAAAAAGTTGGCGCAAAATAAGTGTGTAGAGTGACCTGGTGAAATTAGTATAAAATACAAAAAAAATCCGGTAAGCTTCCGGTTGACCGAATGCAAATTGCTGAGCCTTTCGTTTTACTCCTGCCATCATATTCTGTTCAGTAACCTCGTCTACTTTGTACGCCACAGTACGCCAATTTGTCTTAAGCTGCTTTTCGCTTCCAACAGGTTTTTGGGTCTTCTTCAGGTTCCAGTTTACGATGGCCCAATATTTTTTCGAATGGGCGGAGCTCTGGCCTTTTGGGAGGGTTCTTGTCTTTGGGCACCACCTGCATTAGACTGATGCAAAATTTGAAATTTTCGCTCCACAGTTTTCAAACGGTTTTAAAATCGGGTCCTGATTAGCCTCTGAAAGTTTAAACTCGTTTGATAAGAAACTGACTTGGCACAAACCATTTGAAGTTTACATGGAAATTACTATGGGAAAACAAAACTTTTTGTTCATTGTCTTATAGTCTTTTTACATATTGTACTGTTAACAAATTGTTTTGCTATTCTTATGGGAATTTTTATCAGCTACAACTTTGCAGAAAATAGTTTTTCAGCCAAACGTCAAATTAAATAGTTATTAATTATTTAAGAGATTGATAATCTTATGGCAAGATTAAGCAACTGTTTTGTGGGCCACACTGTATTCTGCAGTGTGACATAGTAGCCATGATTTTTGTCCTCTATTCTACGCGCCATAAACACCAATGTTGCCTGCTGAACAGTTGATTGCGCATAATCATAAGACATCAGTGACTTGAATCATTGATAATTTTTGTTCCTTACATTTGATCGAAAAGTGGTCTTCAACAAAGTTGTAGCTGAGAAAAGTAGAGTGAACTGGTGAGTTTTGAGATAGACATGAACCGAAATTATGGTTTCTTCATAGTAATTCCCATATAAACTTCAAATGGTTTGTACCAAGTCAGTTTCTCACTAAATGAGTTCAAATTTTGGGAGGCTAATCAGGGCCCAATTTGGAACCGTTTGAGGACTGTGGAGCGGAAATTTCAAATTTTGCATCAGTCTAACCTGCATGTTCTTGGCGGTAAACCACTCCATGGCCTTTTCCCCTAATGGTAGGATTTCAAAACTAACCAACAGCTTGGAACAATCGTGTTGATTAGGAAAGGCAGCATACGTTTTTCCAGACGTAAATTTCTTGGTTGACGGC